TGTATCGAATGATTTAGACTCCAATGCATTCCTTGCCTAAAGAGAAAGAGTCAGTCTGTGCTCAAATCCCTCATTTATAAAAAATAAAAATGCTTATATATAAATCACTCCTAATATATTTTTCTTCATGTAATCTACAACAGGGGAGTGATTCACAGCCTTGCCAGGGCTTGTTACTTCTATTTTTTTTTTAAGATAGCCATTCCTACTGGATGAGGATTCACTTATTGATCTTAGGATATACAACAAATCAATATTGAAACCCACATTGTACTTCAAGTTATAGAATTATAATTTGTTAATTAAAAATAAAATAAATAGGCCAGGTGTGGTGGCACAGGCCTATAATCTCAGGGGCTTGGGAGGCTGAGGCAGGAGTACTGTGAGTTCAAAGCCAGCCTCAACTTAGCAAGACCCTAAACAACCCAGTGAGATCATGTCTCTAAATAAAAATATATAGAGTTCTGGATATGTGGCTCAGTGGTTAAGTGTCCTTAGGTTCAAGCTTCAGTACCAAATAAATTTTTAAAAAATAGTAAAACATATCATAAACTATAGTGTTCTATCTGAATTAGTGTAATGTGCTTAATAACAATGATTTTAAAATTTCAATTTAACTTGCACTGTTACAAAAAATGAAAAATGCACATATTAATGGGGTGCTATGTAATGTTTGACACATGTATACATTATGCAATATTCATAATAAGCCAAAATTTATTCCTTTAAACACTAATTGTTTCCTCATGGTGAAAACTTTCAAAATCCTTTCTTCCAGTTTTTTTTTAATGGACAGTATATTATTAATAACAATAATTTTTAAAAATCATGCAAATAGGACACAAGTACAAAAATGTAGATAGGAGCATTATTTAAAATTGCTAAAAACTGAAGACAACATTTATCAACAATAGAAGGTATTAATAAATAATGGTATAGTTAGGCAATTTAATCCTACACATGAAAATCAATAAATCCATGGTACTTACAACAGGGATCAACTGCATAAAACACAATAGTATAAAGCCAGGAAAAGCAGATCTCCAGAAACCACGCACAGTCACTGTGGGTGCCCACACACTTGATTGGGGTGGGCACCTATCGTCAGGTATTCCAGGGCATAATAATAATTGTAATAATTCC